GTGAAAGTGAAATAACTGCCTTTATGTTGTTTTTCTGTAGCCTAACGTCTTTTACGTTAATAAAAAAATTGTGATAATCAAAATTAAATGATGTGAAAAATATATTGTGATCATTTTTTTGCCATATCACCCAGCCCTAGGATAACTGTCCCTTTACGTCACAAGAGAGTGATAATAAGATGTTAATTATTTTCTCCAACCTGATATCCATCTTCTCCATTTTTTCCAGGAAGTCCCTGTTGTCCTTTATCTCCAGGGAGTCCTGGGAGCCCAGGTGGTCCAGGTGGACCTGCAGGGCAGTCTGAGCAGAGGTCCTGTAGACGGCAGACTTGTTTGTAATCAAGCAGAGGGTTTTTTATTAGTGCTGAAGAAGAACGATCCCTTACCTTCAGATTCATGTCAGAAAGATCTGCTGCCTTTCCCTGATAGACAGTAAGACTTTTATTAACAAACACGTTTAAAACTGAGTTCAATTAAAAATACTGACATTCTGCCAAAAATGTCATTTTGTGAGACAGATGAATATTTCTTTTCTGAATTAATATAATATGATGCTGACACACTGTAAGCCTGAACTTACATTATTCAAGAGTTGCTACGTCAAAAATCATTTTCATTTATCCTCATGTTGTACAACAAGCTCATTTTCTTAGTTTATTGTGATATTGCATGGTTATGCACACAGCAATATGCTATATTATAAGAAGGACATCAATAGAAAGTGTATAGATTAGTGGTGTCCCAATACCGATGATTATAATTTAATATTTTACTTTTAACACAAAAAGCTCTGAAAAACTAAACTGTTACAAGGCATTTTGTACCAAATTTTCATGACAGAGCATTTCACTCTGACTGCAGGTTTACATTTTGTTGTTGCCTTCATGTTTGCTCAGGATTGTGAATTACACCAAAGTTAACTTTCAACACAAACTGCTGTTTCGAATGAATTGGATCACATTTGATGACATTTGATTTGATTCAACATAACTGTTGTAAATTGGTGATACATAAACCCATTCACACAAACATTATATAAAGACTAATAAGTGGTTTAGATCACATTCACACACTGATGGGACACATCAGAGGTAGTGGGGGCTCAGTGTCGTGCCCAGGGACCAGTGGTGGGCACCAACCTGCCAAGGTGCAAATCCGCTAAAGTGCAGACCTAAATATTTCATTTGTGCTTTAGCGGTCTTACTAATTTTTATAATTCATGAGCAGATTTGCAC